GCATAATTTTGATTTTTTTCGCGCATAATTCCGACATGCCTGATCTTTATGTCAGACTCGTACCCAGTCGTTACTTACGCTCGAAGAGGTTGATGGGAAGGCGGGAGAAAAAGCTTCGCGCTTTCCCTTCACCCTTCCCTTGATGCATTGCGCGTCTCTAAAAAAAGCCGGAGAAGCGACTGGGTACGAGTCTGTCTTTATGTAATAAGAGAGAAAAGAAATAAAGCAAGAAACCACAGAATCATTAAGCCTTACTTTCTGTTGGRGGAACTTCCTCTGTCTTGTCATCCTTTGGAGGTTCCTGAGAAATACAAACATTTAAAACAAACATTTACTTTTTCAATTTAGTTAGAGATATGCAGGTAATATGTTTGAATATAATTCTGACCTCTTTTTCTTTGTATTTGTCTTTGAATGAATTCCATAATTCCTGAGTGAATTTGTTCATGTCAACCTCTTCATTACCTCCAAGAAGTTCCTAAACCATCATTTATAAGTTGAAATCATTAGTATGATGAAATTATCACTGAACCATGTGGGATGGTATCAAGCACTAGCATCTGAGCATGCTCAGAGAGCCTGCAATAAATGTGGGAACACAAACCTTAGCTTCTTCTTCTGTGTAAACTTTGTCAAGATGATGGGTCTCCACAATTTCATGAACAGTGATGCTAAATAGAGTACAAATTGAATTACAATAGAAAGGAATGGGATAAAATGGGAAAGAATGGATAGATTGATGAATAAATGGGTAAATAAATGGGATAATAGACTGACAAATCTAGTTGCTTGTTGTCCATTACCTGCTACTGCTRTCAGTATCAAGARCCCAGAATGCTGCTTCAGCTGCAACTCTGTCCCTKTCAGCAAGAATTTTATTCTTCTTCTCTGAATTGATCAAAGAAATGGCAATTAAAATAGTAAATGGAAATTGAATAAATATTGCATGAGAACATAAAAAGAAACWGCAAGAATTATTCCCTTTACCTTCCCAATCTTTTTCATGCTTGTCTTTCAGCTCTTTTTCAGCTGCCTCTGCTTCCTCTTTGGAAACTGCAAGTACAGCCAAGTCAAATCAGTTACAAAAACTGTTCTTCATAGATACAGACTTTTACACAATATTCTTGAGAATACAACAGTTTTATTTTGTACCCTGGTAGCTAGACACAAGCGCAGTTATAATTCACACTCATGAGGATTTAAACCAGGGATATTACTCTCCTTTCTCTTCTCGGCTCAGGCAAGGAATGAGAATTGTCCTAACTGAGTGCGATTATAGAGAAAGGGATCATTAATATCTAGAGTGTAAAATAACGGATGGAATGGATGGAAAGATGAATGATCAAATGAATGAAAAAAAAAATTAAAAAAATATAGAGAAATTAAATTAATGGAAACAAAGCCATGAATAGATTTATACATAATCAAAACTATCAACCAACTCTTGCACATTATATTAACGTGAACAACATGCTTCAGTAATTTAATAATCAAATTATATACATCTACAGCGAATTATGAAGTAGAGTGAGTACCTCTAAGATCATCAACTTCTTTTGATTTTCCTTCCAACTGTTGCTTTAACTCTTCAAGCTTTTGCTGGAAAATAAAATTGTGAATGATACATGTAGCTTGTTATCAGTCCCAAATGTATGCATTGTTTAGTATTATTGTAATGTATGGAGAGTCAAAAAGAACAAACCTTTTTCTGCTCTTTTGTTAGTTTCCCTTTCTCACTTAATTCCTGCTTTTTGGCAAGACCCTGTAGAGAAAAATAAGAGATTAATAYAATATTTATGACAATCATAGTAATGACTGCTTGCTCCAAAACAATTAATGAAATATTATTTATCTATTAATCTTTTTTTTGGTACAAATAATAATATATTTTACCACTAACAGCACCATAATGCTTATTTTTACTGTAATTTCCTGTGAATGAAAGTCCACTCCTCACCTGCTTAGCTAATTCRATATCTTGTCTTCTCTTTTCAAATTCTAATTTATATAATTCCCTAATAAAAAGAGATTATAGTAGTCTTAGAAATTGCATTGAAACTAAAAAAGAGTTTAGACTTACTTGCAATTAGTAGGGCAATTAGCTTTCCCTTGGTATTCATCTGAACCATCACAACAGTCTAGAAGAGAAAGAATTCAAAKTTAAAAACAATGTGTTATAATTTGTTACTCAATAAAGTTTAATTTCTTCAACTACTTACCACATATACCATCATTCACTCTTGACGAAGGGATATTTCTAGGTTTAAAGCCAGCATTGGTACAATGAAAAAAACCATCTGGGCAYGCAGCAGTACCTAGAAAATAAAACAAAACATAAATAATATCATTTAATTGCAAAAAAAATGACAAAATGTTCAGAGTAGAATTTTGAGGGGGTGGGTGAGAGGGTGAATTCAACCCYACCATCCCCCCCTTGTGCAAAATATTGCTAGGTGAATAAAATTGTCTCTCCTCCAAGCACATTTTACATAGTGTTGTCCACTCCCTGAATACAGAATACAGTAATAATACAGTACAGTAACTCAAGGAATCCCTGCAYTGTGAATGTTTTACCTGGTTCATCTGATCCATCTTTACAATCACAAAAGTCATCATTAATACTACTAAAAGGAATTGTAAGAGAACCGTCTAAACATGTAAAGTCTTTAGAGCTATCATACAAAGGGAGCTCTGCAAGCAAAAACAAAAGACAAGTATTAGTATTTCTGGAATGTACCCTACAAAATGGTACACATAAAGTAATCACAAAGATGCCAATTGTACAATGTTGTGCAAACTATTGGTAGCATTGGAGGCAGAAAGRCCTCATTTTTAAGACAACAAAAGTACTTAAATTAACTTTTAAGTTAAAATTACTTATTAGCTATATTGTGTTTTTTTCCCTGGTTAATAGACAGAATCATCCCAATCCTATGGGAACTGAAAACAATTCATTCAAACAAACGATTGTGATGATTTTGACGATTTATGGAAAATAGGCTAATAAGCAGGTGCATTTTTTGCTAGCCATTCCGTTGGAATTCTAGAGCCGCACTTTTTTTCTACTCTTGCAACTATTTTACTCATTGAAGCAGAATATAATTCATGCATTCAACAAAACAGCTGTTTTTAAAGTGCAGGAGATATTTGTTTATTTTGGAATACCGCAAATGAGTGAATAAAGCGTAAATTCTTTAAACAACAAATTAAGCCAAGTCGATCTTCAAGGCATAGTTTACAAGAATGAATCAAAAACTTTAACCAKTTGAAAGAAAACATAAATCCATGTTTTTAGTTCCAAATATGCAAAACAGCACACAACAAAWCCGTAGAGCAAAGAGATAATTAAGGAATAATTACTTTGCCTTGACATATTTTCAGAGAACTTTTTTGTCATGCAAAATCGCCGGGAACTAGCGACTGAGATTTTCAACTTAAAATTGACCGAAAGGCATGATTTTTTTAATTCAACTACCCACAACATTCAAGTGAACTTACTCGTCAAAGAAACTCCACGTATCGTCAAGGTAGATTCACTTTTATAGAAAAGATACGAAAGAATGAGGAGTACGAATGAAACCTCTTTAGCTGCCGCCATGTTGGATCCACGTGTCTGCCCGAGGAAAGCTGGTGAGGTCGGACAATATTCGTAAATAGTTCGGTATCTATTCGGAATTTCTAAATCACGGCGCAGGAAACCCACACCAAGTTAACTCGATTCCAAGCACAGACTTTTTCTTTTTTCTAGTTTTTTTCTTTAAATTAACCATGAAAGTAATTAAATTTACTAAAATTCGATTAGATTCAAGTTAGGAAAGTTATTAGAAAATTAACTTAAACATTTTGAATTTCGCGCTAAAATACCGCTGTCATACATGACTCCGGACGCAAGTTCCTCGAGGGTCTTCCAACATGGCGTAACTCTTTCTCTTCCTTCGGAGATGTCGTTCAACAAGCTTACTCAGTAGATCGCATTGAACAAGCTCTCTGAACTCTAATAGATTCTAATGGAGCATTATAACATCAACTGAGTCCCTCAAAAGGTAAAGATAAAATGGAATTTCCAATTTGGAGTGCAAACTTTCAAAGGATGATAACTTTTAATATGATATCCGATTGACGTTTGATTTGTTTTGAATTTTGTTTCATCGCTTGAACCAAAATATGTCYAGCTTGACTTACATAAGACATATCTGTTTGACAACTCAAGTTTCAATTTTCTGCAAGTTTTCAAGCAAGATCAGTTGTGAGTGATGCGATTCGATTCGAATAAAAAAAAATATCTTGCGCGTTTCGTCCATGACTTCACGTCGCAGATGTGAGTGACATATGTCATTTCTCTCGCCTGTCTTGGCTTTAACCACCTAATATAATAAAACTGCCGAATCTAAGATAAATCTCAAAAGTATCTTTATAGAATTTAATAATTATTTGACATGATTACAATAGCTACCATAAGGAATTTCATATTTTAATTTGTTCATTTTATTAGTTTATGTAAATAGTTCACTATCTAGTTGTTGTATTATCTTTTGTTTGATGTTTGTTTGTTTTTCATTGGCAATAGTATTTCATATATATTTATATGAATGAGAACGTAGTATAAGTCATTTCGAATGTTTAGAATATTGATAATAATATGTCAAAATAATAAAAATTTCAGGACTATTCTTGTTGAGCGATTTGTAAACAAAACAGTAATTGAAAACAAGGGTCTTTATTAATATAATGAGGGACATCAATAAACATCACTTTTAATTCTTTTCTCTTTTTTCTTTTTATTAGGCAGCMCGTGCTCTAAATATGAAAGATCAGCAGACTACCTCAATAGTATTACAATACCAAACTTTTATATCTCTATAATATGTCATCCCATAAGCAAAATGGGTCTGAATGGGGAGAAAAMATGGCCTCCRGTCTTAATAGTTGTGCGACATCTAAACCTGAAAACTTAGATCCAGATCATCTCTATGAAGCATATTTAAGTGAACATCTCAAAGAAATGCATGAAGATGATAGTTCTCTAGATGATTTTGACTCTAGATTTATGGAACAAGTGTATAAAGAAAGAGACAATTCTGATGGTTGGGATAGATACTTGGAAATCTTACGAAACGAACTTACAAGCGATGATAATGAAGCCTTACGTAATCTTGATTCACATCAAATTAATGGTGCATGTTCATCAGGTATTGRTCATGCATCYCCAAAATCAAAGACAAAAGATRGCYRCTCTTTTTCAAATATAACAAACCAAAGCAAGGAAAAGAAGCATGCAAAATTTCAACCAAAAGAGGAGCAAAAAMGTTGTCATTATTTCAGAARTGGAACATGCTATTATGGCAATCCCATGAAGGACACTAAAAGAAATGAAGAGGAAAAGAAGACAAAGTCTGAATTACATGTTGATTCATCTGAGATTGAGTTTTATAGAAATTTAAGAAAATACTTTGGAACAGCTAAAGAAATGTCTGAAAGAAAGAAGTCACAAACTTTGAATCCAAAAAAACCATCTGGGAGCTGCAATTCTCCAGCTGATCAAGGAACTAACCATTTTGCTAAAGATGAAACTAGAGGAAAATCTRCTTCAAGCCAAGCAAAACCAAATRCATKTTCTAATAGYAGGAAAAACATTAGAAAGGAGAAGACTGACAATGGAGTTAGATCAGATAAGTCTGAGAGCTCAACTTCTCAGGAATYTATCAAAAATRAACCCAGTAAAAACARATTTGAAGAAGTGTATTCTTCAAAATGCAAAAGTACAAAGGACACRCATTTTGAAAGTRACTTGAMATCAGTWGTATCAGAGCAAGAGAGGTCAAAGAAACCCTTGCTTSAAAAAGATACTGTAACACCCAAAARTGKTCCCTACATCTCTTCAAAGGTTTGCAATGGAGATACAATGTCTAAAATAGATGAYCAGCTAACTTYAGAGAAAGARCATCSTCKGAAAAAGGACTCATTGACAAAAAGTGGTAAGTCAAAGATCRATGTTGCGCCTGTGAATCCTGGAAATTCTGGAAATTCATCAAAACAGAGCAGCACACAAGAAATAAAATTGGAAAATCATTCAAAATCTTGTAAAGCTGAACAAGAAAACACAAGGAAGTCATCTCATGATGCAGGCTCAAYTAAAAGCAATCCATTATCATCTAAGATGCCATCATCCARCAACAAAGAAGCATCAAAAAGCTTTGCCAATGAAAGTAGTGACAGCCAAATGAAAGCACCAATGAGTGCTTCACATTTTGATCTGCTAAACGACAAAAAATCACAGGCTTCTTCAAAACATTGTCCATCAGACCAGAATTTGAAAAGCAACTTTTCAAAGAATAAAACAGTTGCTGATAAARGCAAAGAAAAGAGCACACAATCCAGCAAACAATTTGAGAAAGATAAGAAATATGCACAGAGGAGAGCATCATTTGAAAAGGATGAATTCAAGCCACAATCCATGCATGAAAAATCTGACAAAAAGACTAAAAAAACACACARAACTRCTGAAGATRAACATGCAGGTTCTTCACAAGATTCACATCCCACAACTTCAAGGCTTCCAAAGGATAGAAAACTGCCAAAACAAAGGGCATCAGAGCCTAACAAGGATTTTGAAAGTCATTTTCACAAGATTAGACATGGTCGACCATCAAAAGAAGAGATGATAAGAAGAATATCTCCCAATGAAACACTAGAATCATTGCTGCGCTCTTTCCTTTATACAGGTATTTAGCTTGAAATTTCAATTTTGTTTGCGACTTAAAAGTTGTTTTGTGTTTTTGCCTAAACACTGATTTACTTCCAGTCAAAGAAATTGGATTCAAATGTCTCAAGGTCCTTTTGTGGATTCTCTACTATGCTATATTGATTGTAGCTGTCATTCTTTTGTGGTAGGTTATATTATATTATTATAAAGCTATTCTCATAAGTCTTAATTTGTTATAAAAAGTAATTCAAAGATGTATATTCACACAAATTCAGTTATTCTTGAATTTACGAGATTTATGAAAATTTTGCGTAAAATTGATTTTTTTTTGGTAGTTTGCTGAAAATTTTGAAAGGAACTGTGCTCTATGCATATGGATATGTGATGTCATTAGGAATTACAATTGCCATCATCGATAAGCTTTGGCTTGGTAAGTAAAACATTAGACTAAGTTTAACATACAAGTACAGCAATAAAGCCATTTAGATGTGTTCATACTTGCCSAAGTATGTTTTTAAGTACATTACCTATAAGACATAATCTGTACTTTTCTATTTAATAACTGTTACCTTTATTGTCCAGGTAAAGTCTACCTGGCAAGATGGTAYGGTATAATAAAAGAGTTTATCAAAGAGAAGGTCTATGGTCCCAAGAGAGCAGCTCAAACATATAACCTACCTAACACTGGAGAAGATGCAGTACAACAGCTGCTCATCAGACAAGCACCAGATAATAACCCTTACAGGTATAACAACAACATCATTAACTTTGCAGCCAGTTATATTATGACAACAATTGTCCTTCTTCAGGGTTCCCTGCGCCATTTTGAAAGATAGTCTTGCCTTTACATCGAAGTGAGATGACCGTTGAGGGTGCAATGATAGAAACCTTCTTTCACACCTACAGACAATTATTCACAGGTATCTATCATTGCATGCTCAACGGTTGTCTTGCTTCGATGTAAAAAAGGCACGGCTACCATTYRAGATGYCGCACGTAACCGTGGAGGAGACTATTATTATTAGAGAAGAGTCAATATAAATTTGCCATAACTAGCTGTGACTGTGTATTACTATTATCAAATAAACCCAACAATAAAAATTGAGGTGCCATTATCATGCCGTGCTCCATATATGCCATGATATTGCTCAATCATGCAATATTTGCTCAATTGTTAACATATATGGCACAAAGAAATAATAAAAATCATACTTGCGTGTACACTATACAATGTTTGCTGCGTTTATATAGGATCTTGGGTGTACCAAAAGAGGCCACAGACGAAGAYATCAGAAAACAATATCGAAAGTTTGCTGTACTTGTCCACCCAGATAAGGTAATTTTGTGATTTCTTGAAAGAAATAACAAGCAATTCACATCTGAAAGTCCATAGTTCTTCAAGCCAGTTTCATATACTGCATGCATACATGTTAACCATTGTGATTTTATGCTACAACTTTGTTAAGTAATGCCCCRAGTAAGAACTAGGGAAGCAAACGGCACAGGAATGCAAGAAGGTGCTAATTGCGCATTGTATAATCCATCCATCCCATTGGTTAAAACA